GGTCCTAGTTACATTTAAATTTCAGATAAATAATGAATAATCTTTTTTAGTATAAGTATGTCCTACATATTGCATGGGACATACTTATAGTAAAAATATTATTCATTGTTTTTTCTGAAATTCAAATGTAACTGGGTTTCCTATATTTTACCTGGTAATTCTAAATTGAGAGTTTATTTTACTTTAATTTTGTCCTCCAGATGAAAAAGGTAGATAAATTGGTAGATATCTTCCTTGATTATGTCAACTATTTGGATCTTGATGAATGATTTTATTCATTCAATTAACTAATACTTCTTTTGGTGCCTGCTATATCCTAAATGGAACTCTGCCCCTGTCTTGGTCGGCTATTCTTTCTTATTTTTTTGTGACACACAGTCTCTTTGGTCTGCAGACTCTATACTTTTGTCATTTCTAGCCTTTACCCATTCCTGGTCCGGTTGACCAAGTCCTAGTCAATCTCTCTCTCTCTTAGTCTTTCACGTTCCTCTCTCCATTCTTATTTTTCCTAGCACTCCTTTCTTCCTTCCATCCCCATAACTGGGTTCTTTCTCATCAACCACAAACATCTCAAAAGTCTTCAGCAGCCCTAAAGAACTTGCCTTGATCTTGTAGTGCTCGCACACTCTAGCCTATCCTTTTGCTACTGTATTTCTTGAAAAAATAGTCTGGGGGCTGGCCCCGTGGCTTAGCGGTTAGGTGCGCGCACTCCGGTACTGGCAGCCTGGGTTCGGATCCAGGCGCGCACCGATGCACCGCTTCTCCGGCCATGCTGAGGCCACATCCCACATACAGCAACTAGCAGGGTGTGTAACTATGACATACAACTATCTACTGGGGCTTTGAGGAAAAAAAGGAGGAGGATTGGCAATAGATGTTAGCTCAGAGCCTGTCTTCCTCAGCAAAAAGAGGAGGATTAGCACGGATGTTAGCTCAGAGCTGATCTTCCTCACACAAAAAAAAAATAGTCTGGAATTGCTATTTCAGTATTTTCACTCTCACTTATTTCTCAACTCATTTCTCTCTTTTGAATACTCCCTCAAGAAATTACCGAAAATCTAGTTACCAAAAAAAAAAAAAAAAAAAAAAATCAATGGATTTTGCTCAGTCTTCATCCCTAATCATCTTCTCTGCAACATTTGACCCTCTCAACTCTCTCCTACATATTCCCATTTTCTCCTCCCTTGATTTTCAGCATTTTCACTGTGCTTCTCCTTTTACCCACACTCTCATGACATCTCCATAGTCTTTTGTGGTATCTTCACTTCCATTGTGGGTACTGGAGATGTTTTACACTCTGTTCTTTCAGCGCATTTTCCCTTTGTAGTTTGTATTAAATCTTATTACTCCAGTTATCACCTCTTTGCAGCTGGCTCCTAAGTCGATGTCTCCAAACTTGACATCTCTTCTAGATCCAGGTTTCCAGACCTGTTAGACATCTCTCTGAGCATTTGCACACTCATAACACTGATGGTCTCATTGACGGGAGCTACAGTATACTTGCAATAGAAAGTTATAGACATCATGAGAAGTACAGATAATGTGCTATGAGAGTTCCGACAGACAGAGAAAACTTCTGCAATTATGTTCTCATTTTTCTTGTCCTTAAAGTTCTGATTTAAGCATTTAAATACTACGTATAGAATTTTGTGTTAGAAATAAAGATCAAAGCCATAGAGGAGTGAGAATCACCTCTTAGGAGTAAAGGACAGAATCAGTGAGATAAAAGTCTCCTGAATTAAGCTCAGAGGAGACAAGGCTGTCTTGAAAGAGGGTGGTAGCAGTGGTTATGGGTGAGATGTGGTTTGATTTAGGATGTATTTTCATATAAAGTCTTCGCCATAATGTTACTTGTGAAAAAGGAATTAACAGTGACCTCAAGGTTTTCTGTTCTTAGGATCTAGAAGGATGAAATTGTTGTTAACAGAGATGGGCGAGAGCATAGCGGGAGCAGGTTTAAGAGGAATCAGGAGATAGTTTCGAACATGTTAAATTTAAAATGCCTGTGAGGACCCAAGTAGAGATATAGAGTAATTTCCCAAGAAGTAGTTTTGTTGTTGTTTTTAGTGCCATCAAGTTGATTCTGTGTTTCAATAAAACTTTATTTACAAAAGCAAGGTGGGCTGAATTTGGCTTATAGGATATAGTTTGCTCAGTCCTGGATTAAACTATTCACGGTAATTTTAGATAACTTTTAATAAGTGATAAATAGATATATAGATAACTTTATTAATAAAACAGCATTATTTTTAAAGTAGTATTGCCTCAGACTGAGCTAGGATTCCAGAGAGGTGACTCAGGGGCTGACTTGGGGTGGGCAGGGGTGTTGAGAGAGAGAGAGGCTCAATGCCTCTAAATTACATAGGGTAGAATAGCTCAGTTTTAAATATTGGGGTTGTGGGTAAATTTCACTTGAAAAACATATTTCAGTGATAATTAAAATTTGAAAACCATTGGATTATAGCAAGTGCTGACTTGAATCAATGCAGTTTCAATTGTTTTTGTGGTCCCTTTCCATAGGCAAAGCAAAACGGACCTCTGAAGAAAAAATATATTTTTCATAGATAACAAAAGGAGATTGGAGTAAAAATTATATAAACTGGTATCTGTGATGATGAAATTATCAGCTAATTATCTAACACTCTACTTTGAGTATTTGCACGTTCACGCCACTAATAGATGAGTCATACTTTGTCTTAATGTTTAGTTTGTTCCTGATATGGATCCTACTTGAAGTTTTAAGGAGTTAACCTTCATTGATATCAGCTTATATGGAATGATAACACTGAAATAATACAAATACTGTAGATGCCTTTCAGTGATATTTAAATAGAATTATTTATTAGCTGGTGTTTAAGTTTTATGGGAGTGGGAAACTTTATGTATTAAGACGTGTATACTGAGACATACATGCTGCCTAAAGTTTTCACACTGAAGCTCTTAGTGAAAGATGGTGTTTGGAGGTTAAATTTTCTGTACAATGATACAAAGAATCACTTGAGGCTTACAAAATAGTGATATTGGCATTTTAAGTTGATGTAAGCAAGAAAACATGTTTGTCATTTCATATACATATGTGTAGTTTTCACCTCTCTGTAAGAAAATCAATAAATCTTCCTGTGGGGATCGTTTGAATGCAGCTTACCTCTTTGGGGAACTCTAGTTATAAAGAAGGATCCTGCTGATATTAAAGTGCTGAGGTGAAATTATGGTAAATTTTTGCTGATTTTTAAAACAAAGAAATCTACTACCTATTATGACATCTAAACTTTAAATGTGTGCTGCTAAAAACATCCATATGCAGAAATCTGAAAAACAAAATGAGACATGATTAATCACCTCTCAGAAGCAGAGTTTGATAAAAGAATAATTATGCAATTCAGCTGTTTACAAGTTGAAGCTAATAGATAAAAAAATATTTCAGGGAAAGATCTAGAGTTTATGTTTTTATTGACTTATGTAAGCACTTTACCTTTAGAGCTCTATAAAAATATGAACTCTTTCTGGGTAGACATTCTTTTATGTGTGTGATCTTCTTTTATGATTAGATCACTCATATCAAGAGAATTCCTTGAATAGTAAAGGATATTGTTGATGTGTTTGGTGTGAGGTAGAATTCTTGCCTCCAAAGGACAGAAGAAATTTATCTTTCCATATTTATTTGCAAGGTATTCTCCAATCACTCTTCTGTTGGCACATAATGTACTCATTAGCCCTGGACCCAAGAGGAAGTCCAGGATCATGGTGCTGGGAGATTCAGTGTCTGTTGAGGACCCATTTCCTGGTTCATAGACAGCCGTCTCATTGTGTCTTCAGATGGTGGAAGGGCCAAGAAGGCTTTCTGAGGTCTTTTCATAAGGGCACTAATCCCATTCATGAAAGTTCCACCCTTATGACCTAATCACCTCCCAAAGACCCCATCTCCAAATACCATCACATATGATTTTCAACATATGAATCTTAGGGGAGCCCAAATATTCAGTCAATAGCACTCCATTAGTGTTGCTCAGTAATTAGCTGCAAGAGGGCATAACATTCCAGGTGAGGTAGTTCTTATGCGACTGAAGGCAGTTGTCTAGAGAATGAGGCAGCTGTGCGCTGATAGCAGCTAAAACTCAGAGCAGCTGTGGGATGAGTGTATTAGCCTTATCCACCATGCTAGCAAAAGAATTTTCCTGCCTATTAGAAACAGAAAATAGGAACAGGAGTGAGCTGCTGTCGAGAGGTACAACTCTGACAACGTGACAGCAATTCATGAGATAGAAGAAAATTTGAAAATTGACCTATGAGCTTGAGGCCATGTAACATAGGGATAGATATGCTACGAGCAGCCCCACAGCCCATGACAACACATTCCGACAGTGGATGCTCATGATGTTGACCTGGAGTCAACAAGAAAAAAGCTATATTTTATTAGGATATGCACTTAAAAAAGCAGGGACCATCAGCATGTTTATAGTTTAATTCCTTAAATCACCAATCTGTAATTATTTAGAAAAGAAATAGCTCATTTGTGAAAGTGCTGAGTAAATGAGTTACCTAATTTTAATTTTTAGAGGGCATTAACCGTAGGGCCATCAGCTTGAAGTACAAGATGCTTTGCCCTAAAAAGTAAGTATTTTTTGAACAACAGAGGTGTTTCAGAGAGTCTCATGTTTTGAGACTTGGGATATTATTGTGTCTCAGTTTACTCTTAGGAAGGTTGACAGGAAAGAAGGACTTTGTGGTTTGTTTCTGTTGAACAAATGGGTGATTGTAGAGCTGAGCTCAAACTAAGTAACGGATTGCATCATACTTATTGTGTTTTCAATAGTTGCTAGCCTCCTGGCCCCCCTTACCTGTTATTCCATTAACACTTCATCAAGTTTCGCCCTCCAATGGTTACCCTCAGACTGTTTTATAGAAACTTTTAGCATAATCCCTATGTAGACCATCAAGTATCAAAAGCTGCTTTTGATGTGCTTTGTCTCTAGAAAAATTTTAATGTTTTTTTTCTTCAGTACCATAATGCTACCTTTGACTGGGCATTTCTGTCGACGAAGCAGTGTTTGAAATCTGGAGGAAAGCTCATGGGGAACAACTGTGAATTTGTTCCTGATATCACGCTCATGTCTTTCATCCTCTTCTTGGGCACCTACACCTCTTCTATGGCTCTGAAAAAGTTCAAAACTAGTCGTTATTTTCCAACCACGGTAAGTACCTGAGCTTTTAATAATTTTCATTGAATTTACACTGTATCAACAATGATACAATTTTACAAAATGAAAAAGGAACCTGTAATTTAACCTTTCCAAAACAATTTTGTGCATTTAAAGAATTACTGTCCAGTATTTGTCTATATGCATACGTATTTTTGAATTGTAGTCCAGCTTTGAAAAACCTTCCAAAGATTTTGCTCACATAATTCTGTCATAAATTCTGATTGTCATAATTTTTACTGTACTGAAAGGAAAAAGTGGGGTGTATTCTAGTATCTAAAAATGCATGAGTAAGAACAAGACCTTTTAAATCCATAGTTTTTAAGTATATAAGCAAAACCTCTTTATATTAATCAGGAATTTCGATGTAGAATTTCTTGTTCATTACCTGTACGTGTGAATAATTTAGTAGTTGAATTATGGGCTGTGGGAGTAAACTTAAAGTGTGTTGTTACACAAGTATTGGTATAAGATATGAGTGTCATCTGAGCCAAACTTTCCCTCCCATAATGATGAATGCCATAGTACAGAAAAACAGATAATTGAGCTGGGTGGGGCAGACGTCCTGTCTCCCGTTAATATGCTTGGGTGAACTTAAAGTCAAAACTGGTTCATGGAGGGACTACAAGATAAGATCAATATTTAGTTAATGGCATTTTGTTTTTTTTTTGCCTGCAGAATGAAACTAAGGTAATCTTTTGCTTTACAGTTCAGTTCTCAGTATTTAGGATGTTGATATTTCTTAGGTAATCTTGATTATACTTGATTTTTATCAATGAACTGCTCTATACAGCTGGACTCTCATGAAATCTCTCCTGTGTTTTGTGTAGAAGGAATGGAAAAACTTCAGAAGATATGAGATACAGCTGATGAAATTCCTTTTTTCGATTCCTAGGAAATGAAACAAAATTGATATATTCATTTTCACTTAGGAAATTTTTTGACCATCTGATTCTTCTTATAGAATTGAAAATAAAGGGAAGGATTGATAATTGCTTTAGTCTGTTCAGGCTGCTATAACAAGATACTATAGAGTGGGGGTCTTATAAACAACAGAAATTTATTTCTCACAGTCTGGAGGCCGAGAAATCCAAGATCAGGCACCAGCATGTTCAGTGAGGGCCTTCTTCCTGATTCATATCCAGCACCTTTCCACTGTGTCCTCATGTGGCAGAAGGGCTAGGGATCTCTGTGGGGTCTCTTTTATAAAAACACCAATCCCATTCATGAAGGCTCCATGCTTATGACCTAAGCTCCTTCCTAAGGCCCCACCTCCTAATACCATCATTTTTGGGGGTTAGGATTTCAGCACATGGATTTTGGGGGGACACAGCATTCAGACCATGGCAATAATGAAATGTCCCAAACTATTTGGCCCAAGGAATGAAAAACTTCCACAAATTGAAACATAGAAAGAAGTGTTCAACTTAGTCTGCCTAAAATGAACATCACAAACTGGTGGTCCACAGGCAGAATTCTGCCCCCAGCCATTCTTTGCTTAGCCCACAGTTTGTAAACCCATACACACACACACACACACACACACACACACACACACACACACACTTGAGGCCTTAGGTGGAACCTGTACTTTGCAGGTAGTTATTGTCCTCACAACTCTCTATTATCTAAGACTTCAGTGCTTCACACATTCACAGTAACTGCCTGTCCCTGAAGACATTTGGGCTTGTAACACTAGTTCACACACTGGGGAATGTGCTTCCTTGATCTGCCTCCTCAATGGTATGAATTTTGTGTAGAACAGATTCCTGGGTAAACATCTTTGAGGATGATTTCTTCTTTATTGAATTTCTCCTTCTTCATTATTAATTCATTGGGCTTTTTTTTGGGGGGGGGCTCACACTTGGGGAATCATTACCGTTTTTCTCTCTTCCACTTGCTAATTTAATCTCTTCCACTTGCCAAAGTCTGATATTATTTAGGCATAGTAGGTGGAAAAGTGGAAAACTTATGAAGTACTTGTAAGTCATAATTTGCAAAATAAACTTGTTTCAACCTTAAGATGCGCAGAGATCATTTAACTGTCTATGTAGACATCACCTTTGTCTTACAGCAATAATCCCCAAATTGATAATAGCTCTTCAGATTTAAAGAAATTTTCCCCTTATGAGAGCCCAAGCAGGTAATTTCTCAGGCATTGATAAGCGCTGTTGAGAAAGTCATGAGTATGTGAAAATAGAATAATGATAGCGTTCTAATTATAATTCCTGTTAAAAATGTTCTCAACATAGTTTAGAATTGTACATACCGAATCATAAAATAAACAGGGAAGAGAAAATATATGTGATTTCCAAGGAACAATGTTAAAGTGTGTAGTCTTTCAGACTATTGTCTCCCCCTTACACCCTTATTCACTTCACATTTATAGCTAAATAGTGACAATACATACAGAAATTCATACATACATGAATAATAGGAACCTCTTATTTCTCTCTCATTTGCCAAAATATGTTTTCATTTAAGCTGTCATTTAGAAGGATGGTCTCCATAGGTAGAAGCAGATAGGTTTATAGATTCTTATACTTACATATTATATTCCATAATTAACACTTATATGCTTAAACACAATAAATTAGACAATCCTTGATTGCTGTGACAATAATCAGGCCTAACTGTTACTAACTTCCTCATTCACACCCACAATTCACAGGAAACCTCTAAAAACTCAAAATGTGAATACTGGATGACAGTGCCCTTGTCACGCAAGATGTACTGTTTTCTTAGCTTGCAGTCATTTCTCTTTTGTATTTTCATTTCTAAACATTTGTATGAATTGCTAGTCAATTAAGACTGTAAAGTACTGGATAACAGTTATACTTCTATTTTATTCCTCACGTCCACTAGCACTAGGTTGACTGCAGACTAGGTACCCAATACTTGTTGTCTAGTGGAAAGCCAGTAGAGACAAATGCTGCATTTTGTGGAGAGAACACAGGTGTGGGAACCCAGGAGCTGTAGATCCTGTTGCCAGCACTGCCATTAACTAGCAGTGTGCCCTTTGATAGCTAACTGTGGACTTTAGTTACCACCCTCATCAAGGGAGAGCTCAGGTAGGTGACAATTAACATCCTTTTAAGCCCTAGTATTCTATAATTTTAAAGAGAGTTTTCTGACCCCATGTCCTAAATTAAACAAATTCTCTGTATTAAACTATTGCTTGTAGCAATGATCAAGATTGCAAATTTCCAAGAATTAATAATTATCTCCATCTTTATGCCAGGTCTGCTTTTGCAGTTGCTGTCAACCTCTCCCTGTGGATTATCCACAATTGTCATGTAGCAAATTCAAAATGTGGTTTTTCTTTCCACAATTTAACTTAATCATCTGCCTATATTCCTTCTCTCAGCTAATAACATCACCTATCCTCATAGCCACCCAGGATCAAAGTCTTAAAAGTACATTTGGTATATCAGTCAGGGTCCCAGCAGGAAGCAAATGATATACTCAAATTAGGATGATTTGAGGGGTTTAATAAAGGTTTAGGGAAACCACAAGAGAGTGTAGTGTTCAGTGCTAGGAACAGTGGGGTTGTTACTATCCCAGGCCCAAAAGAAGGGAGTGGTTGCTGGAAGCTAGAAGAAGGGAGAAGGATAGAGACAGCTCTCTTGAGAGGTGCTGTGACATTGGGTTGAGGGATGGAGCCAGCCTGAGGCAACCTCCCAGGGATACAGCTACAGGAATCAGTTCTCTGATCTCATTCTCTTCCCTCTGATGGCCTGTCCAGGCTGCTGCAGGCTAAACCCAGACAGCAAGGGAGCCCATTGTAGACTACACAGGTCAGCCTCCTAAGGCAGAGAGCAAGGTGGAAAATGGATCTGGTGTGACAAAAGATGAGATCCATCACATTTGCCTCTCCAAGTTTTTCTTTGTCATATTAAACTCGTCACAGTCCCCTTGATTATCCTGCTATAATCTCTCTCCTTCATACTTACACTTCTATTCCTCTAGTTCAGTCCCTCGTTACCTTTGCTTAGACCAAGTCAGTTTACCCACTCTTTCCCTCCCTCATGAAGCCACTAGCAATCCATCAGTATGAGCACTTAAGTTTGCCTTTGCTAGCCTGTCATTCAGGAATCTGATTTTTCTATCAGGCACTTCCAGAGAACCCTAATGCTCAGTGGACATGGGTGGAGTACCAGTCCTCCACTGAGTGTCTCCTTCGTGCTCCCCATTCTTTTTGGAGGGGTGATCAGTCTGTTATCCCATACAGTTACTGGTCTGTTACATCAGCCTCAAGTCTTTAGTCAAAGTCTTTCGGCATCAAAACTCCCTGTAGGAGCATCACAGCATCATCTGTGATCTTCTGTGGCAGATGGCTCAGGGCATTAACATGAAATGTTCTTCCAGAGTCAGTCCCATACTAACAAGTGATGCCATCACTGTACGTGCGGTGGCAAAATGAAGGCAGAGGCATAAAGATAGAGCAGGATTGTGATTAGTAGAACTCATAAAGCTACAGAGCCCTCTGAATTAGGCAAAATTATTGATACCTTAATATATCAAATTCAGTGTGGCCACTGGTGTATGTAATTGGCATGAAAATACCTTTCTTAAGGAACTGTGTAATTTCCTCTCCTTAGAATAGGTACCAATTGTAACCCTCATGTGAATTGAAGTAATAGTAAGATTCTTTAATATGTCTCCTGGTTGTTATTGTCATTTCAATAAACAAAATTAGTAAGTTCCAGGTGACATCAACAGCTGTGACACCGTCTACACTTTATTTAGATGACATTTGAGCAGAATGTTCTTTGACATTGTTCTTTAAAAAAAAAACAGTATTCTATATCCTATAATTAATTTGTATATTCTTTCAATATTGAAAAAAATTATTATGAGTCTAATGTGTGCTTGATACAATACTAGATGGTAGGGATACAAAGATAAGTAATTCATGGGCCTGGTACATAGTAAGAATTCCACAGTTAGCTATATTTTTGGAACCCTGATTCTTGGTTGACATTTTGGCCTGT